CTTTCCCAAGTATATTGATAACCTTCAAAAGAAAAATTTTGCAACCCACTTGTCCAAACAGCCTCCCTGAACCCCCTTAACATCCAAGGGGGATGCGGGATTCTTCCCCTCTTCTCCGATGCATGCATGATATCATTAAAATCTCCCATCACTAACCACGGAAGAGAGGATTACACACTCAAGGACTACAATAGACCCCAGGAATCTCGCCGTCTATGCCTTTCGGGAAAGCCATAGAAACCCGTAAACCTCCATAAAGGACCAACTTCTTCCAGTTTTACCCAAGCATCAATAAAATTAGCAGAAGACCCTTGGACGTTGACTTCAATATCCTGACTCCACAAGAGTGCTAGTCCACCACGGTGCTCCTCACTGTCCACAACATAACAAGAATCCATGCCTAACTTCCTCCTTAGCGCATCCACACGAGTATAAACAGCAAACGTCTCCATCAAAACACATGCGACGGCCTCTTAGAGTGGACCATATTCACCAAAACTTGAACTGTTCGAGGGTTGCCAAGCCCCCGACAGTTCCAGCTAATGCAACTCATTGCTCTAGGCGGGCCTGTTGACCAGGACCCGCCTCTAATGCGTTTTTTGACATAATGGAATCATCAAATTCTGACATCTCATTCTCCACCATTTGCTCATCCTTTTGAACCTTTCTCTTCTTCGGTAGACCCCCTCCCAAATCTGCCCCTTCTTCCTGCCATTCAGCCACTTCCATAACCTCCTTTCTCTTAGCCTCCCCATGCACGTCTCCATAATGTGTAGAGCTGCCCTGCTTATCATCCCTAACCAAAGGACCCAACCCTTGCCTGGCAGTAGCTAAAAACCGTCCCTCCCCGTCCACCAGCCAACGGCTTTCCACACTCCCAGAATTCCGGCGACTACCAGCACGCATCATGCTCCAAAAGCTTTCTCTTGGCCAACAACACACCCCTCTAACCTTTTGGGGAAAAGGCGATCTACATGCCCCATAATGCCACAAATAAAACAAAAATGGGGTAGCCGTTCATATTTAAAGAAAACCACGAAGCTTTCCGACCCGCGCTTTAATGTCATGCACCGTTTGAGCGGTGAAGTGACATCTAGCAGAACCCTAACTCTCATAAATTCTCTCCATCCCTTTTTCTCAAAATTCTTCTGGTCAGCCTTAACAAAAGCTCCAATGTGATTCCCAACTATCTTTGCAATACGTTCAGTGAAAAAGAAGGACGATAGTTCATAAACCTGCACCCAAAACTCCTCTTGCCTCAACTGGACTGTCTTTGGATTTTCCGACCCCTCCAGTCTACGGAGCACCAATAGATTATTCTCAAATGCCCAGGGACCCTCCTCCAGAATCCTTTCGAAGTCCACTGCATGGAAAAATTGAAACAAGTACCGTCGTTCCCCTAAATCACGAATATGGACTCCCTTGCCAGGTCTCCACGCATCTTCCATGGCATCTCTGAAGGAAGGAAAGTGAATCTGTTTGTCCGTAATCAAACATCCAACAGCCATGAATTGTGATTGTGGTAGAGCCTCCTCCACAGCATCGTCCCCTACGTCAACCCCCACTACCTCTTCATCCGTTAGAGATAGTCTAGCGTACATGTCCTCGACCGCATCCATCATGAATTAGAAACTAGGTTACTTCGTCAAACGGATAATGAGAAGGGAACAATTTACCACGATCAAAAGGCTGCGCACAGAACCCTAGAGTTTGCTAGGGAAGAAAACCTTTCATCGGGTTATGATATGTATAATATACCTTATATACGTATAAATGTATAAATGCATTTATGTATAGTAAGATGGAATTGCTAAGCATTTAATACATTTTTTAGAAGCATTTAATACATTTATTATTCCCTAAGAATCTTTAACAACCAAACGAGGTATATAATATATTAGAAGTTTAGAACAATTAAACTCCAACAGTCCAACCAGCTATATATAAAAAGTTTATACAACAAATTAAACTATAAATAAAAACGTGTAAATTTGCAACCAACATATTAGATCTTCAAACCTGCCATAAAAATTCCCGAAAATACCAAAAAGGAAGTTATGAATGTTGTTATATTTTTTTCCCAACGATCGGAGTTCAAGTAAAAAAGTTGCACCACTTTAAAAAACTAAAGTTGCACCACTTTAATTATTTTTATTTTTATATGCAATATTAGTGTCATACGAAAGAAAATAAAAAGTTATGAATTTTGATATATTTTCGGAACAATCGGAGTACGAATAAAAAACTTACAACACTGTAAAAAACTGAAGTCTTTTAAAGTTCTTAATTATTTTATATATATATATATATATATATATATATATATATATATGTATATTGGTGTTATATGAAAGATAATAAAAGATATGAGTTTTGATATACTTTCTGTAACAATCAGAGAGTATAAATATAAAAGTTGTGCAACTTTAAACAAAATAGGTGTTCTTAATTTGGTGTAACCACATTACTAATGCTCATGTTGGTCAAGTTGTTATAACATTTGCCTAAACCGCCAGTTCAAGCGGCGGTTTTCTTAACTCAAGATTGTCCCAATAGTATTTTCGAAAATACTTTTAACCCAACACTAATTTAGACATTATTTTTTTATTTAACATTATTTTTGGAAAAAATCTGTTATATTATCCAATTTTAAGTTACAGAAAATACAAATAAAAATACCAATGAATATAATGATTTACGTAGTATTTTCTAACACCGCTACCAAAGACAATCATTATATAGTATGGATGTTTTTCAATTCATTTAAGTTTTTAAATCTCATATCAAGCTAAATCAGATTTAAATAATAGACCATATTAGAAGTTTAGAACATAACAAGAGCATATTTAAATGGGCCAAGTGTACATACATCTTCTAGAGTATGTCTTTACGCAAAGTCAACTACATGTAACCATGTCAAGGGTTATGAAGTAAGTTGAAGAATCAAATATGTGATGATGAGAATCGTGTTCAGGGACGGATCCAGGATTTCTATTCAAGGGGGGCGAAATTTTTCGGTAGTGTAGGGGGTGAAAAAAATTTCGTTAGTGTAGTGGGGCAAAATTTTTTTCCTAGTGTAGCGGGGCGAATTTTTTCCGCTACTGTAGGGCTATGCGGCTAATTTTATTCAAAAAATGACATTAATACATACACATCCCCAATGACATTTAAATCTATTAAGTAGTACGTTCTAAGTTTAAATTAGATGATGACAAAGACATCAACCAATACATTTTTAATAACTTCTACATTGTTTAACCTCATGAATCGGTTATTATTGAATTGTAATTTTTGTCCGGCCACCAAGGAGGGTGTTCGTGAGTCATGACTCATGAGAAGTTTTCTTAATATTACAATAGTAGTATGTATGATATTATTATTTTTAGAATAATATGCACCACATACACACACATATATGGTGCATATTATATTTTAATATTTGTATTAATGCTATAATAATTTAAAGTTTATTATCTATGCAATAAATTATTTTTAGAAAGCAAGAAGTAAATGAATTATGTAATTTAATATCAATAAACATTTATATTTTGGATTCATTTTACGTGATCTAAAAACTGTGTAATTAGTGTATCTGATATTTAATATTGTTTGATATATATTTTACAAAATATAATAAAACACTACAAAACAAGTACTTGTTATCTAATAAAGATAATTAAACACTACAAAACTAGGAATTCTTATATAATAAGTATCCTAAATCTTAAACAACGAGTTATTCTAGATGTTTATTTGTTTAAGTTATGTAATTATTTTAGATGTTCCTTCTTTTAAATCTTCAATTAAGTATTACATTATGTAACACTATATATTAATTTTGAAAATTAAAAGATAAGGGGGGCGAATCTAATTAAATTATGAAAGTTTTATGAAAATATTACATATATGGTAGAAAATTTTGAAAGTCCAAGGGGGGCGGTCGCCCCCCCCGCGCCCCCCCCCCCTAAATCCATCCCTGATCGTGTTATCAACACCACTAATAATGTGGTCTATAAAGAAGTTTATAGACATTTTAATACTTTATGATACTTTTTGTATGTCATGTGTTTGAAATTGATTATGCTTCTACTTCTTTTCTAAAAGAAGCCATAAAATCGATTTAGTTTTTCCGGAGTTGGTTTTCCCGAACTTCTAAAAAATTATATCTAGGAGTAATTTGGACCATTTAGAAGCTAAGTACTTCGACCCCTTCACTCAAACACTCCAATATCCGTTTCTGCACCTTCAGAGAACAAAAACAGTTTTAAGAAGTAGATCCAAACCCCCTCTATAAACATTAAAGGTTCTTCTGTTTTATAGTTTAATCATTATAATATTATTAATTCCATTATCAATTCTGTGAGGCCTCAAAGATGAAGTGTCATCATTTATTAATTCTATTATCACATGAAATTTATTGTTACACCTTATCGTTTATTTTAATTTTAATTTCAATTTTTAGTACAAAACAAATTTGTATTTTTTTATAGGTGCTATTACATAATCAAAGATAGAATATACTACGTATAACTCTACTGTCACTCTATTGTCTTTCGGATTTGACAAAAATAAACATTATATCAACATAAAAAAAATAGTAGATACCATTTTAAATGATTTTTTATTTTATTCTAGATACACCCCATGCATCGCACGAGTAATGTGTCTAGTAATTAAATATTACGGAGTATTAAAATCAAAATTATGTATTGATAAACGTGAAAGTCAAATTGTTAATAATAATTATGGATTCGGATCCTCTGCCATAAGGCAGAGTGCCTTGCGGCATCCGACGGCAGGGAGGGAAAGAGGATGGCCTCGAGATTGGGGAAGGAGTGGAGCCCAAAATCTTCGACCGTCCAATCTCCGATCGAACGGCCCGGAAAAGCCGGACACCCTACCTTGCTTTAAAGCAAGGGGGAGGCCCCGGATCCAAGAATTATAGACCCTACCCGTCAAATACCCGTCAAATTTAATGGAGGAAGTATTAAACGTTTAAAGTTCAACAACAAGGGCCGGGAAGGGAGACAGTTGACTGAGAATGCCCGTTCTGCGCAGTGGGTTGACTTTGACGAAGGGGTCTCGCCTATCCCTCTAAAGCATTAATAATGAATGAATTCCGTATGTACGAAGCATTTGGCAGCAGATTTGTTTTGGTCCACATACATTTGTTGTGCGAATCGTTCAAACTAAATATCATACTGTATAGATGTTTCCTCAAGTCAGAGAAAGACAAAGTTGAACCAGTCGTCCACTAATCAAAAGCTCTAATTACTCCGTATCTGATAGATATCTCCCCTGTTTCTGTGTTCTGATGGCAGGCTTCATTACGCACATTCATTCAAGGCAGAGAAAAGAAGAAAGCTTGAGGAGACTTTAGTATGGGAATTTGCTGGAGTTTTGCTTCAAATAATCAGACTCCACCTACCACTTCTACTACTACTTTGGGACATCTTACTTCTTCTTCGGGTATGTTTGATGTTCCCACTTCCCACCACCAACCCATTATTGCACTATTGTTTTACCTTCAGTTCAAGCTAAGTTTTGGCACCACCATTTAAATAATGAATTGTTGTTTATTAGGATGTTTTTAACAAAATTAACATTTTACAGTGCCTATATGTTTTAGAGTACATATTGTTTTGAGATTTCCAACTTTCTACCCAAGTGTTGGATTACTTATTTATACCAATAAAATATTACATGGACATATAAGATTTTGAATTATTTTTCAAAATCAAACTTCAAATCTCAATAATATTATAATTAGATATAATTGCTTATTTGACACCAATGGTATAGGATAACCCGTATCAGATTTGTTTTGCCCATATTTTGGTTTGAGGAGTGGAGCAAGACGTAAGTGGCGAAGTCATGTTTTGAAAAAAAATTACATTGTGTAAAAATGCATATTTAGAATTATGTGTAATAATACTTCGTATTTTGTACCTAATAGGTTCGTTATTAAAAAAGTGCATATGTAATATTTGTATATCAAAGATACCATTGTGAAAAAATTAATAAAAGAATTTCTATTAAGCAGAAGATTAGGGAGAAGAGAATATATTAAGTATAAATGTGTTCTTAAAGGCTAAATAAGTATAAATGTGTTCTTAAGCAAAAGTATATTTAGTTGTGTTTATATTAAAAGTAAAAGTCTCTATTTCTTGGCTAAATAAATGATTAACTGAAGACATACCATCATTATCTTTAGAAATCTTAATTATGACTTCTTAATTATTTTGATAATGATAATAATAATGACTTATTAATCCTGAATAGTTAAGAGATATAGTTAGGAGATGACTAATTCATTATATTTCAACAATATCTTATGGATTATTTGTCAAAGGCTCTAAGGAAAGCATTGAAGTACATGTCAAGTGATAAAAATACAAAATATTAAATGTGATTTTATAATAATCTTTCCTTGTAACGTTGTATCCCAAACTATATATTCTCTTCAACTCTAAATTAGCTTCATGTTTTGCCTTTTATTTCTTTGCTCCAAAATAAATTTCATTTTCCTTTCTATGCAAAGGAATTAGCTATTCACATTATTTCTTTCACGTTTAAGTGGCTTAACGGACTCTCCATACAAATTCCAAATTAATATGAAGAGAGATGCAGTATATGATAAACGATAATGATATTGTAGCCTGCGTGGTTATGTTTCTTCTGTTGCAATGCAGCAGCTGGAATTTCACACACAACAAGCAACATAACAACGTCGACGTCGTCAGCTTTGAGTGGCAAAAGCGCTGGCGATGATGACATGCTCGGTGAAGAAGGTCGGATATTATCACACCCCAATTTGAGAATCTTTACTTTTGCTGAGCTCAGGGCTGCCACAAGGAACTTCAGGAGCGACACGGTGCTTGGAGAAGGAGGGTTTGGCAAGGTTTACAAAGGCTGGTGGATCGAAGACAGGGGCGGCACCACCGCCTCAAAGAGTGGCAGTGGAACCGTCATTGCAGTAAAGAAACTCAATTCTGAAAGTTTTCAAGGGTACGAGGAGTGGCAGGTACATATGAATACATGGAAATCGATAGTTACATATTTTATACATATTAAGCCACCTACATTTCGTGCGAAGAAATCCATCTTAAAAACATATAAATTGTTCGGGAGGACTAAAAACATAAAAACAATTTGATTTAAACATATACGGAGTATGGTTTTTGTCCGTGAGAAGGATTTTCAAGTGTATACATAGACGTGTACAACTTTGTGTACAACAACCATTGTGATATTTACATACTCTTACTCTTGCACTCACTGATTTTCTTTTTCTCTTTGAGTTGTTGCCTAAAAATTGCTAGCTAACTTTTACTTCCTCTTTGTTTTGAAGTTACAAACTTTCACATTTGTCAAATACATTACTTTTATCTTTAATACAGAGTATGGTCAGTGTAAGATATGAGAATAGTGCAAAAAGTGAAAAAGTTAGAACTATTCAATTTATAAAGAACGAAAGTAGTAAATTAGTATATAAGATTCAAAGTTTGCTGTGGCCAGCCTCTAATGGTTTAAATGAATGCACATTTATGCAGTCAGAAGTGAACTTTCTGGGATGTCTCTCTCATCCAAATCTCGTCAAGCTCATAGGATACAGTTGGGATGAGAAAGAACTACTCCTTGTATATGAGTTCATGCAGAAGGGAAGCTTAGAGAATCATCTTTTCGGAAGTAAGAATTCAATCACATCTTAACTGCATCAGATAAAGAATGCAGAATGGGTTCATAAAAGTTTGGGTTCATTAGCTCAAACGAGATTTATCTTGAATGCCTTGTGTACTATCATTCTCAACAAAAAAACAAGTGTGTGAAGAGTTCGTTTGTGAAAAAAATCAGAGTTTTTTTCCAAACTAGAGAAAAAATAAAAGTTTCTGGTTCATCATATGATATAATACTCTGTAATATATAACCATTGTCATGAATGTAAGCTAATCTAGGGGCGTGAACCGAGTGATAATTGTCTTGTGTTCTCTTCCAATTACTACATACATATGAACATGCATACCATAATTAATACTTCATATTTAATTGATTTCTTACTATGTTTAGGGGGATCTGCGGTTAACCCACTTCCTTGGGAGGTAAGGCTCAAAATCCTGATTGATGCAGCTCGAGGTCTGGCATTCCTCCATGCATCAGAGAACAAAGTGATTTATAGAGATTTCAAGGCCTCAAACATATTACTTGATGGCGTAAGTTTGTTTATTACACTATGTCCAATCGAGAATATAACTTTGTTAATTGTATCCAACGTTTCTTCACTACTTTAGTAATTTAAATTTCATTAAGTTTTTACTTTTAAACTTTAGCTTTGATCTATACTTTCACCTTTTGATTTTTTATGTGACCTATGCGTTTTTACTTTTTTAAGGAATTAAATTAGTACTTCGTATAACAACAATTTAACTTCTTTATTTTCTTAGAAGTTATGCTCAATACAAATGTATATCACTTGGTGAGAGGAAGTACTGCAGTACTTTCCTAGCTATGATATGTGTAGAGATGTCCTTCCCCTCCTGTGTTGATTTCTTTGTCTTTTTCTTCTTCTCCGATCCAACACAGTCATATAATGCAAAGATATCAGACTTCGGCTTAGCAAAGTTTGGACCTTCAGCCAGCCAATCACATGTCACCACTCGAGTTATGGGAACACCCGGGTATGCTGCCCCTGAGTATGTTGCAACAGGTATATATGTTTCCATGTTAATTAACTGAGCTGATGCGTGGTCGTATACATATTTCTATCGAACACACTTTTTTATAAAAATAGAATTTTCCATAATATTACTCTAAAATCTCATGGACAAACTATGACAACTATATGATCAATATAGTTACTGGATTACTGCAAAAATATCATCACACTGCAACGTGAAATTGAATATGAGATTAGTCACTACAGTTGTTAATTAATGCCATTGGATGGGCGTGCAGGTCATTTGTATGTAAAAAGCGACGTGTATGGTTTTGGTGTGGTTGTGGTGGAGATGCTAACAGGATTAAGGGTGATAGACCCGAACCGACCAAATGGACAACAAACTCTCGTTGAATGGATTAAGCCACATCTTGCAGAGAAAAGGAAGCTGAAGGATAAAATGGATTCACGGTTGGCAGGAAGGTATCCTTCCAGAGCTGCCGTACAGATTGCTCAACTTGCTTTGTCATGTCTAGGATCTGAGCCTAAGATGAGGCCTTCTATGAAAGAAGTAGTGGCAACATTGGAACAAATTGAGTCTGTAGATGAGAGACCAGGACCAACAAGGAAGGCAACTAATAATTCCAGAAACACTAAATCTTATAGACACGGTGGCAGTGACCACCGACCTTTGCGTCACTCTCCTCCCCCTCTTCACCCACCTCGGAAAGATCCAATCCGCAGCCGGACATAATTGAATATTGCTGTTTTGTTCATGCCATTGGTTTTTTCCTTCATTCTAATAATGTATATAGTGGCACTAAAATTTTGTGCCTGGTGTATCATATGTAAGAGAATTTCATGTGGTTCATATATGGAATGTGAATCCAAGAATGTAACCATTACTTCCAACAATCTTTTGTGTAAAAGATTGTGTGAAAGTTTCTTTCTAATAGCATACCCCAATATTCTCTTTTAGCGACACCGCTGTTCTCAACATAGATAAAGATTAAAACTTTGACGATGATAGTTGCTACACTAGAATAGCAAAATGTTGTTTTGCCCCTTTCTTTGTTAAGTTCCCCTTCTTGCCAACATGGGGACATTGCATATATAGACAACATGAACTAAACCTCTTCTATCTATTCCTTGGTAATCTGCGGTAACGTTCAATACACACTAAGGGAGGAAAACAAAATAATGTGCTTCAACATGCCACACCTATAACTATTGATTTGGGACATTGTTTTAAGGATCTCATTTAATTACAATTACAACAACCCAAGTAGCTTTAGGAGGGGCAAATTGCAAGCTCTGGGTAGGCTAAAAACATCAAAAGAACAAAATTTCCATCAATTCTGGAATTCTTCACTTGTTTGTGTTGAAGGCAGAGCTATTATGCGTGGCCCAAGCCGCGGCAATATGTTCTGCTTCATTTCACGGATCAAAAAATCATTCACCGAAGGAAAATGGCAAGAAGTTCTTTTACACTACCAATCACTCCGAAGAGCAGGGGTTGAGCTAACTGACATTTCTGTATTCCCTCCCATTCTTAAAGCCTGCTTAAACCTTTTGCTCTCATTCACTTACGGTCTCTCCTTCCACGCTTTTCTGCTCAAGCATGGTTTCTTCAAGGCATTCACTTCAGTGGGGAATTCTCTTATTGACTTTTACTCTAAATCTGGACACTTGGGTGCTTCAATACGTGTTTTCCAATCCATGACCAACCCAGATTCCGTGTCCTGGAATGTGATCATCCACTCACACCTTCATCAAGGCGTTTACCCCACCGTAGGTGGGGGCCTTTGCGGCACTGGGGTAAATGAAAATGATGAAGATAACTAATACATCCAATTTTCTTATTAGTTTTCACACGTAGAGAAAGTTGACCAATTCATTTACAAATACATCCACTATTTTAAATGATTGATTTATTTAATGCCGGTGACAATCCATATCTATTTTAATACCAACCATATGTTTGTAGCACCTATGGACTTTTAGTGAAAAAGCCGGTAAGTGAATGTTTAGCAGAAACACAAAATGGCTAGAATATGCCAACTATGGTTACTGAGTAAGTCAGTAACTTCTTTTTTACCCTTTTGTTTTAGTTTTTTCAATAGTAGTATACTCTAAATCCTCACTGAAAATACTAAATTGATTTGGACATGAAGAGGTTTATTAGCCATGAGGATAAATTTGAAAACAAAGTTATAGTAAACAAAGTCTATCCCTATTTGCATTCCTCACGCCCAACTCTTTCTCTGTTCCTCATAACCTTTAATTTAACTTAAACACTTGAGTGGCGTTTCTCCCCACATGGCCTCGTGGCCACATCCCCCTCTTAGGCCTCCTCTTTCTCTGTTCCTATTTGCGAGATAATTGACTTCAGCTAATATACTCACTATCTTGATAAGGTTCTCACTTTGTTTTTGCCAGCATACCACAACATCCGATTCCACCAATATAGTCACCGGCCATCTCAACGAATCTCACAGGTTAGTATTCCATCTCAAATCTATGTTTTCATAATTGTCTTCATCATTTCATTTTAGCTTATTCATTATATACATTTTAATTGTCTTCCAAAACTTTCATTATATACAAAAATTCACTCCTCTCCTTGCTCTCGAAGAGCAAGGAGACCAGTACAAGCCACAAGGGCGCTGCAGCCGCTGCTTCAACAGCCAAGCACTGAAGAAGAAAGAAAGTTGATCCAAGAATTTTATTCCTTGCAGTACTCACCTGGACAATTTGTAATCGGTATTTGATTATTTGTATTATCTTCTTGCTCTTAGGAAAACTTGTATCGTTAATTTAAGTTAAGAATGACATTGTTAACATGGTCGAAGCATAATTGAGTTATATTAGAGTAGAGATTGGTATCATGGTATGTAATCTGCCAGTTAATTAGTTAAAGCAATTTATAATGTTTCTTGCATTAATTTCTTTTTATTCCTAATACAACCACTTCTAATGTTTTGTGATACGCTCCAAGTGAGAGCATTAGGAACACAAATTTCAGTTTGAGTTGGCAGAATAATGAGAATAAACTTGTAAAGAGCCCAAATTTTGTTTTTAACACATACAAAGATTTGTCGAGTCTAAACATCAAAATGCAATAATCAGAATAACTAGTTGAGAAAGGACAACAGCCAAAACAGGAATTGCTTAGCATAAAGTTTTCTTAAAGAGAAAAATTTAGTCTTCATCATCCTCAATAATAGTAGTGCCTAAGCCCTTGAGTCCCTCTGGAGCCTCAGCAACAGTAACCAGTGAGTAAAGTTCTTCTTTGGCATCTTCATCGTCGTTCCTCTTCCGTGCAATTCGGACACGGACCCTCCTCGGCACACTTCGGATCCCTTTACTCCAAATTTGCTTGTTTAGTTTCACATCAACCCTAACGTCTGTTGTTCCCATTGCTTTTTGAGCAAACTTCCTTATCTCCTTTATTGCCTTGGGTGCCTTCTTCTTGAAGGTGCTACAAATAATATAACATAACATTGAGATGAGATGAACTGCAACACTCACAGCTAAAACATAGTAAGAAAGGAGAGAGGAATACTATGTTTGTGTACACTATGGGCCTGTTTGCAAAAAGTCACTTAGTTGGAATGGTTGAAATGATGAATGTGCTTACAATACAAAAAGGACAGCAGGTTTCATTAAACCAAATCCAACCAAATAAGTCAGAAGCTAGATGTCCCGAGTCAACATAAAAAGCATATAATGTCTGCCAAACAAAGTTTAAGACTGCAATGAACGCCAATGTAATCTGGCAGATGTAACTTTACCAATGTGGATGGAAAAATGGTGCATGCAACTCCATGAAACTGAAAACACAACTTATGAGAGAGGGAAGACTTAGGCATGAGTGCATGACAATGCAACTGATGCTAAAATACAGGAGGCATACGTCAGACAAACTGCTACATTGTATTGTATCTATAACAATAATAAGCAAGTAGCATTTCATTTGAACTTCTTGGCTCCAAAAGAATAGAGACTACCCAATATACATATGAGTGTTTAAGAACATTACTATAGTCAAGATAATAAAGGATCACCAGCCACATGCACACAATACACATTTTCAAGCTACACGTATCTCTGAAAAATGAAAAACTACTCATTTCAGACTAATGGTGGCTATTCATAATTAAAGGATACGAACTGAAATATAGTAATTCAGCTCTATGCAACAAATGCGGAGAGATTCAAAACTACAATCAAGTATAAAGAGAGTACCATCCATGCAAGCGTTTGTGGAGATTAATGGTGTACTCTCTGGTCACAACTTCATCTTTCCTGGTTGCCCTCGGCTTCCCTGACATTGTTGTAGAGCTCTTCTGATCAGCAGAGTCTGCTTCATTAGATTTTAAATTCAAAATATTTTCAGTAACAATAGGGCACAAGTGTCATAACTCATAAACAATAGTTTGTACAGGTCATACACCTCAGCATAACTCTAACCTTTAATTAATAAGTGAAACAAATTAATAAATGATCAGGGATAATATGTGTCAGGCTGATCCGCGTGACAGAAGAATCCGGGTATTTCTTATATTTCATTTTCTTATGTACGTGAGTAAATTTCATAGGGGTAATAGAAAAAGGAAAGGGGGTATTGTAGGAAAATATTTCAGATTAAAACAAGAAAAGAACATTCTCAATTGTTTTAATAATTTTAGGGGGTGAGAATAAATTCAAAATGGAATCACGAAAATCAACAAGTAAAACAACATTCTGAATTCAGCAAATCCCACCATTTTTTATTGCTTGAACCAGATAAAAAAGAATTAAGCAAATTTATATAAACAAAAAACAAGCAAATAAAAGACGTAACAACTACGTTATACAGGAAATGCTTTCACCAGTTCGGAGAAAATAAACACCCAAGCAAACATGCAATAAGGGAACAACCAAACATTGTTGGTTAAGTTATGAATCAAATAAATGACTGTGGCTTACAAAGATGCCTTTGAATTCACAAGGTTTATATAGAAAGTGAAATAATTTGAACTTACAAAGGAATTTAGATTATTCTTTATGAAAGCTAACCAAACTTAAGAATATGTTTGTGACTTTGTGTATACAAAGTTTTCAAAATGACAGAAAGACATGCATATAAATAAAAACACAAACTGGAATGATACCACAAACACAGAGTGGAAAATTCAATTAAAAATGATTTGTTAATATGGGGATTTTGGAGAACTGTGTTATCCACAAAATGAAATCATCAAATTGGAGTTGAGGAATAATCAAACGCTGTTTTTCAAGTAATGAATCAAATACATTAATATCGAATGAGGTAGATGAAACATTCCTTTGAATGCAGAACCTTTATATAGGTAATGCAATACAAATCGAGCATATGTTTGTGGGTTTGGGTGTGTGTATGTCTGTGTGTATGTCTGCTATATGGATTAGTTATATATCTTTCAAAATTATATATACATATAGTTTAGTGTATAATTTTAAAAATATGATCCGTATATACCTTTTTATAAAGACTTTCACTTGTTACCTTTTTATGCATACCACTATAAATCCCAATCTTATAAGACAAATAATAGGCAAATAACAGTTTCAATCAAATATAAAAGGATTAACTATTGTAGAGAAAAACAACCAAAGGAGATGCAAGCCCCATTTATCTAGCTGTGATGTAAACTTAGACATATATGTGCAGTTTTAAAGATGCGATGTAAATGAAAGAATGATAGCTTTGTCCAAATTTTTTTTAAAACTTTTAACCATTAATAACTCTCATATATTCTCGCATAGCTTTGTCAACGAACGAAGAACTAGACCGAAGCAATGATTTTACAACAAACAAAACATTTCGGGAATGCAGAAAAAATTGGTTTTCAAAACACTTAATCTTCATACAGTCGACAACTAAAACACAAAATCGGAAAATGAAAGAACGGATAGAACGAACCTCGACAACACCCGTAAGCTTGATCTATTCACTGCCGAGACGATATAAAAGCAGTATGTCAGAACAAACGAAACAAGATATATCCGATAAGTAGGGTTAAGTTATTCCAGTTCTTGGGC